AATTCTGAAAGGCCCCTTTATATTTCCAATTTTCATCATTAAAAACAATTGCAGAGTAACTTATATCAGACTAACCCTCTTGCTCTGGACAAAATATCAAAGGCACTGGAGAATCACTAAAAGCAGGCATAAACTAGAAGGGATATAAGCCTCAGAAAAAGCGAAGTAAACTATATGAAATCCACATTTACAGTTTGTTTTTTTTTCCGTGAAGGTACACCCCAGTCCATCCAGCAGAAGAGGAACAGTGTGCAAGCAGAAAACGGAAGTCCTGCTATGCTGAGGAGTCAGAGGTATCTGGAGCTGTCACAGCAGCTAGAACATGAGGAAAAATCCTGGAAAAGGCAGAACCACAGAGTGGGTAGCTTCAAAGGATGCATACAACTCTGCTCAAATCCTTAAATAATTCCTGACTATGCATGAGCAAGATAAGATTCAGAAACCCAAGAGGAAGTAAGAGCTGGACAGCTGAAAAGACTAAGTAGAAGGCTCCCGGGGCTGGGGGTTCCGTTCTGCCTTAGAGGGGCTTAATGAACACCTCAGGGCTTGGTAGGCCCCTCACACTTTCCACTGAACCCCCAGAAGGGTCACATCTTGGGAATAAGAGCCCTATCCCATGACTAAGATTTATCTCACTGAACTAAGGGCAGAACAGAAGTAGGCCCACCCTAACGTGTCCTAAAATCTAGCATCCATAGGATCAAGATGATCTGCCAATCTTGACAAAATTCAACATTCTTTAGTGGGAGACAAACTTTAAAATCTATCACCCACAACGTCCACTAAAATAATGTAAAAGTCCCATACATGTGTAAAGTAAAGGGAAACTGTACCCATTGTCCAAAGAAAGAGCAGTTGATAGAAACACATCTACAGACAACCCAGATTTTAAGAACTAGCAGACAAAGATTTTAAATAACTACAATAAATATGTCCTTAAAATGCACATTTTGTCAATTACACAAATCATAACCTAACCTACCCCCAGAATCCTAGTGAACTTGAGTTGTCCATGACCTTTAATCAAATTGGGATTTAGAATGGTTTATATTTGAAAACCCGAAGCAAACAACTTGAAAGTAATTAATGACATCAAATTTAATCATATATTTACACCTCCCAGAAGGACAAGAGAAAGAATAAAATATCTTATCTCTCTGTAGTGAGAGGGCTTTATTAAGATTTGACAGTAGTTATTTAACAGCAATAATTGAGTTTTATGCAAGATTACACAGGTTCTCCTTATCTGGCATCAAAATCTAATCACAGACTGATAGGGTACTTAGGCTCCTAACAGTGAGAAAAAACAGTTGAGCTGAGTACAAAACTAATCTTCAAAAGTACTTATCTTCATCTGTCAATGTGATCTTATCAAGGATTTTTATAATTTCTATAAACAATCATTATATTTTAGCTGAATCAGTAGCATTATGCTGTCTAAACAGATAGTCAGATTCCTTCTATTTTAAAACATTTTCTACCAGTTCCCATCCCACCACTCACCACTTACCCCCACCCTGGCCCTGTAAAAGGAATTTGGCTTCAACTTTCTTTTCTTAATCCACTAAGCAATCTCATGAATAAAAAGATAATCACATGCCCTGCATGCCTGATAGAATTTTTTATAAACCTTCTAAGTGTTTTAATATTTATTTACTATTTTGTGAAAATAATATTTACTGAACAAGCTAGATCATCTTCTTTCTCCATAGAAAAAAATGTAACGTTGGTGAAAATATACTGAAAGCTCCGCTAAGTACACATTATTTTTGCATAAAATTTTGCTTAAAATTCTGTGGAGGTAGGCAAAGCACTGTAGAATGATTGACATGGCTGCCTTGATATTGTTCTTGCTTTTTCTATGTCCACTTATGTTGACCCTGCCACTCCTAAAGATGCTAATATTACTTTTGCTGAGGTAGGGAATCACTCTCTTTATACAAATTTTGTTGTTCATCTTGGTCTCCCAAAAGGATGGCCTCAGCAATTTTTTTCTCACTCTCTCTCAAGGAGCTTGTTTCCCTCAAAACAAGAAGACATCTGAGGGACACACCCAGAACTGTATCCATAAGTATTCCATCCTATCAACAATTAACAAGTACCCAGGGACAGAATTTAGGCAGCTCCATTTTCATCAACCACAGGTGCCTGCCCTCAGCAGTGTTCTCCAGGAACTGGTGGCAACTTCATCTCTCCAACCTTGGTTGGCAAGTATGAGACTAGTAACCCAGCAGTCCAACAAAGAACGACTGGACTTCTTCCCAACAGTGACCCTTAGGTGTCCTCTCCTGGTAAATGCTCAGAGATTGGTCTCCCTTAGAAACCTTCTCTCCCCATGTCAGACCAAAAATATATAGGCAAACACTTAGAACCTATTCGAAATTCTCCACATATAAGTCACCAAGTTGAAAGACCTTCAGATAGAACTAATTTACCTCTCTGTGTGGTGTGGTATTACCATCCTGAATGCTATGTGAAGTAAATATATTTTTTAAAATTTTACTTTTAAGTTCTGGGATACATGTGCAGAACATACAGGTTTGTTACATAGGTATACATGTGCCATGGTGATTTGCTGCACCTATCAACCCATCATCTATGTTTTAAGCTCCACATGCATTAGGTATTTGTCCTAATGCTCTCCCTCCCCTTTCCCCCATCCCCCAATAGGTCCCAGTGTGTCATGTTCCCCTCCCTGTGTCCATGTCTTCTCATTGTTCAACTCTCACTTATGAGTGAGAACATGCAGTGTTTGGTTTTCTGTTCCTGTGTTAGTTTGCTGAGAATGATGGCTTCCGGCTTCATCCATGTCCCTGCAAAGGACATGAACTCATTCTTTTTCATGGCTGCAAAGTATTCCATGGTGTATACGTGCCACATTTTCTTTATCCAGTCTATCATTGTTGGGCATTTGGGTTTGTTCCAAGTCTTTTCTACTATAAATAGTGCTGCAATAAACATACATGTGCATGTGTCCTTATAGTAGAATGATTTATAATCCTTTGGGTATATACCCAGTAATGGGACTGCTGGGTCAAATGGTATTTCTGGTTCTAAATCCTTGAGGAATCACCACACTAAAATTTTTAAAGGAGAGAACCAGTGTCTTCTTATTTAACATAAATAGATAAGAAACATGTGCATGATGATATCTACTTAGCACCTTTTAGTTTAAGAAACACATTGTTATACAATAACTATACTAGGCACTGTACTAGGCATTAACTATGCAAAAAATGCATAAGACTAAGACCTCACGTTCTAGTAGAAGAAACACATCAACAAATGACCATAATGCAATGGGGTTAACTACCATAAGAGTTGAATAACAGAATAAAGCAAGCAACTAAGGCACCAAATGCCACAAAGAGACTGAACAAGATTTTAGTGGCCAACTCTATGGTATTAAGTTCCCTCCCTTATTATCTCCAGTTGTATCTCCATTCTTAGAGGAGAATACACCACACTTTTTTCCCCTAGCTAGAAAAACTAAATGAGCAGCCCATAATAAGCTACATAAAACCTTTATTTCCAATGTTATCTTTATTCCAATCCAAACAACCTATTGTTAAGCTTTACTGTCATCACAGCTTAAAATATTTTCACTTTAGTGAAGAAAATCATTTCTGACGTGAAAAAATTAATCTTGTTTATAACATTAAAAAACTAAATCCTGGTGTCAGAACAGATCTCACTGGAAAAAAGCTGTAATTACATTTCTGGTAAGAAATAAAAATGTGTTGGATAAACTCATGTAAAATGCTTATTAAGCAAGTACCTCTACCAAAGCAAAGAAAAATTACTCCTCACAAAAGTGAAGGAAGAGAAATTTCGTATTACCAAATCTTATTTCTCCAGCATCTTCCCTGAAATAAATAGAATGGATATATATTCCTCTCAAAAATTTTCAATTGAGGTAGAAGAAAAAAAATTATTTGGAGGAAACCTAGAAAAGTTATCATGAAATTATCTCACAGCCTTCTTCAAACAAACAAAATGTCTTGGCTAGAGCAGATGGTTGGAGAAAAAAGGAAAAAGAAATGCTCTTAAGAACTAGCCTGCATTTTCCTTCATCTTTACACTTTTATCTCCATATAATAATACACACTCACAGCCCCTGCTCCCCGCCCCATCTACACATATGCATACATCTTCCTTTCTCACTGTCTCACTTTCAGAATTAGATTTTTTACACTAGAAAACAAATATGAATATAATATTCACTTATACTGGGCAGAATATTAAAGTTGATATCTATTTGGTTTTACTTAAAAACAAGATCATAGTTAACACGTTAAGGGGAGACTCTAAGAGTATGCCTTAAACTGAAAAACACAAGGGAATCTACTATACATATATATGTGTGTGTGTGTGTGTATATATGTATATATGTGTATATATACGTGTGTGTGTGTGTGTATATCTATATATATATATATATTTTTTTTTTTTTTTTTTTTTGAGACAGAGTCTCGCTCTGTTACCAGGCTGGAGTGGTACAGTGGTGAAGTCTCAGCTTACTGCAACCTTCGCCTCCTGGTTTCAAGTCATTCTCCTGCCTCAGCCTCCTGAGTAGCTGGGACTACAGGCATGTGCCACCACACCCAGCTAATTTTTGTATTTTTAGTAGAGATGGTGTTTCACTATGTTGGCCAGGCTGGTCTTGAACTTCTGACCCCGTGATCCACCTACCTCAGCTTCCTAAAGTGCTGGGATTACCAGTGTGAGCCACCACACCCGGCCTACCCCATATATATTAACTAGCCACCCACTGAAAAGTCTTTTTCATGGTGAGAAAGATAACAGTAAGATAGTAAGAAGTTCTTATTAACTAATTATCTGGCATCCACATCCTTCCATCCTCGCCCCCAACCAAAATCTGTACCAGGAAAGCTCAAGAACCAGTAACATTCCACAGAAGTATTAAAAATAGAGGAGTAGAGCCAAATCTTGTCCAGTGTTCTATCGCAAAAAGAAAATATACGAAGAGAAAAACTTACTTGCAGTATCCTGTGCCATTGTGGTAGGTAACACACATTCCTTCATTTACACAGGGTTCATAGCCATCTCGACACTGCAAGGCTAAAAATAGAAACAAATGCACATTAGAAGTAAGTCACTAATCATAACCCTAAGACACCAAAGAAGAGTAATCCAATCCAGATCAACATTCATTCCCACCTAATTTGGGTTTCTTTTTAGAGTTTTAATCAGCTTTTTATTTTTTGGCTTCTAGCACAGAAGCCTATCCCAAAAGTATCTTCCAACAACAACCATGTTTGTGGTCTTGAATGATGCTCTTACTTTTCTGTGTTCCAATATCTCCAGCTGTTACATCTCCTTCTCCCAATTAAAAATTAAAGCCATACCATCTATGACATGACAGATCATCTTTGGATTTAGATACTTCAGACGAGTATTCTAAGGATTCATCAATGAATGTCTAGGAAAATGTTAGATAAATAATAGATCACCATTATATTGATGAATTACTTAGCCTTCAAGTGAAGTTTTAAAACAGACCACTTCAAGAAGTAATCAGAAACAGCAATAACAGTCATTCAACAAACTGAAATTGAGAGCCTAGTATGTACCAGGCACAAAATTAGGATCCAGAAAAAAGGAGAAATGGAATACATAAATGAATAAACATAATCTCTAGCTTTAAGGGGCCCATAAAAAGATGGGGAGTAGAACATGAATACAGATTGTAGAGAGAGTATCAAAATAAATAGAAGGAGATAAAATAAAAATTCTCAAACTCTTGATTCCCCCATTCCCTTTAAGAGACAATGAAAAGGCACTTTACCATCTGAGGCCCTCCCAAAAACAGACTATTCAGAAAAAAGAACAAAAACAACAGCTATAGTAGAAATTTTCATTGATTTCAGCCAAGAATGGAAGAACTCTACGCAAAATCTGCCAATCACTTGCTGGATAATTAGAGTATCTTGATTGCTGAGCTTTTAGAGTTGAAATTTTCATCACCAAAATACATATCGAGAACCCTAACAACTGAAAAGGTAAGACAGAAAGAAACTTAGTCAAACAACAAATATCAAAATTGAAGCTCATGAACTCTTCCTTGGAGGTTATTAAGATGTCCATCTCTTATGATAGTTAATGTATAAAAACCTGAAAGCAAAACTGAGAAGTTCCCACTCCAAGCTTCCTCTAACCACAGCACTCTATGCATAAATTGTGCAAGATCAGAGACTCTAGGCCTGCCCATCCCTGGCATCAAAACCAATAGCCCAGGTGCAAGCTGGATGCCAGAACAACTCCTCCACCAATTACTGCATAAAAGCCCTTTATTTGCCCAGTATTGTATCCAGTAGTGGAATCATTTGAGAACATGTTTACAGAAAATGCATCCCATCCTTAAAATAATATTTTTAATGGTAATAGTAATAATAATAGGAGCTAACACATAGAACTTACTAAATACCAGGCACTGTCCTAAGTACTTTACATAAATTAGCTAACTAATTCAATCTTCACAACAACCCTTAGAAGTAAATTTCATTATACCCATTCTCAGGTGAGAAAACAGGGAGGATAAGTGGCCTGCCTACTATCATACCAGTGAGTTAGAAAGCCAGAATTTGAATCCAGAGACTCTGCCCTTAACCACCGAGATACACTGCTTCCCACTCCCTGAAATTTCTCAGGATTGGCAGGGTGGATATTATTATACCTATTTACCAATAGTGAAGGCCAGAGAGAATAAATGGCCTCTTCATGGGGCATTGTACCACTAGCTAGTGGGCAGTGCTGGGCCTAGGACCCAGGTCTCTGCTAAGTCCAGCCCATCTCTATGACAGCTGTTGGGATCACACACAGAGTCACCAGGCTGCAGGCCCAAACAGGCAAATTCAGGAAGAGGGTCATCTTGCTGTCCATATCCCACTTCCCTGTAAGGCTGAAATGCTCCCTCTTCCCACACTGATAAGCCCAATGCAACAACTATAATTAAAACAGTTAATGTCAGGTTATTTCCTCCATACCAAAGTTCTCAAACTGATTTTTTCATTCTCTTTAGACACTTTTATTAGTTTCAGTGAGAACTTCCGGGGTTTTTTCTATTTACTTTTTTTCTTTAAATAAAATGATAAATAAATAAAACCCTCACAGTAGGAAAGGAATGTCCTGTAGGCACAGAAAAAGCTGTAGCTCTGTCCCCCTGCAGGAATCCTGGTGCAGTGGAGGGACTCAGGAGACCTGAAATCCTGTCTGTACCTCTAACTGCAAGCAAAGCACAACTTCACAGGGGCTCAATTTCCCCACCTGTAAACCAAGCTGAGGGTGAACTAAATATCCCTGAAGATACCCTGTGATCCACCAGCGACAGCTCCCGCCTTAAAAGTACATGAATGGCATGCCCAGTGCCTGAAGAAACCTATCCTGGAGTGCATAAAGACCCAGCCACCCGTGACTCAGAATGCCATGGGTGCAAAAATCACGGCCTATTCCTATTAAGTGTCTTGACAAATCATTACAGTGACAGGTTCAGAGAAATACAAACAACCCAAAGTCAATATGTAGCAATCAATCTAGCAAATAACTTTACAGCCTAGCCTTAGTGAACCAATCAAACTCAGTGACTGAAAAGAAGGTGGGCTTACCAGGCTAATAATTAATGCCACTTGGCTGATTTGTGGGATCATGCTACCTTGAACCTTTAACATTTACTGAGCCATGGTTCTCAAATTTCAGCAAGCACTGGAATCACTTGGAGGGCTTTTTAAAAAAGAGTGTTGGACTTGACCCCCACAATTTCTGATTAAGTCCATAGAGAGCCTAGGAATCTGCATTCCTAACAAATTCCCAGGTGATGTTGACACCACAGGTCTGAGGAACCACACATTGACAACAAATATATGAAAGCTTGAGTGTCCACTTTTAAAAATACTCAGAAGCTATATAATATAGAGGTCATAGATGATTTAGATGATAATATACTGCCTGAATAAACAGGATGTGGAGAAATGGAACCCTTCTACTCTGTTAATGGGAATGTAAATTAGTACAACCATTGTGGAAAACAGTGCAGAGGTTCCTCAAAAAACTAAAAATAGAATCACCACATGATCCGGTAATCCCACTGCTGGGTATCTACCCCAAATATTTTAAATCAGTTTATTGAAAAGATGTCTGTACACCCATACTAAGTTATGGAAGTGTCCCTCAACAGATGAATGGATAAATAAAAGGTGGTAGATAGGCCAGGTGCAGTGACTCACGCCTGTAATCCCAGCACTTTGGGCGGCCGAGGCGGGTGGATCATGAGGTCAGGAGTTCAAGACCAGCCTGGCCAAGATGGTGAAACCCCGTCTCTACTAAAAGCACAAAAATTACAGCGCGTCTGTAATCCCAGCTATTCAGGAGACTGAGGCAGAAGAACTGTTTGAACCTGGGGGGGCGGAGGTTGCAGTGAGCTGAGATCGCGCCACTGCACTCCAGCCTGGGTGACAGAGTGAGACTTTGTCTCAAAAAACAAGAAAAAAAAAGTGGTAGACATACAGAGTGGAATACTATGCAGCCTTTAGAAAGAAATTCTGTCATTTGAGACAACATGGATAGAATTGGAGAACATTATGCTAAGTGAAATAAGGCACAGAAAGACAAATACAGCATGTTCTCACTTATATGTAGAATTAAAAACCATTAAAATCATAGAAGCAAAGAGGAGAAGGATGGTTACAGAAGCTACGGGCCTGATGGTCAATGGGTACAAAGCTACAGTTAGACAAGAAGAATATTTTTTTTGTATGTTTGAGATCTATTGCATAGTGTGGTGAATATGGTCAATAATATTGTACATTTCAAAATTGCTAACAGAGTAAATTTTAAAAAATGTTAAATATTTGAGATGAAGGATACAATTGTTCTACATTGTATTTGTAAATTATAACATCACTTTGTACCCCATAAATGTATACAACTATAAATTGACAATTCTAATTTTTAAAAAAGAAAAATAATCTTGAGACTCGTGGCTTTACTCAGGAGCAAAAATGAATATTATAATTATCTTCCATACAAAGAGAAATTAAAACTTTGATAACCTGAAACCATGAAAGTGAGACTGGGAAAGACCTCACTTTAAAATTCAATTTACTTTTTTCCAATGTAAAACATTTAAATTTAACAATAAAATTGAAGGCAGCTTCATGTTTATAAAGTAAAAAAAGAAACATTAAATCATACCATAGAGAATTGATGCTTAAACTGATGCGTTAATAGACTCCAAGAAACTAGTCACTCACAAAGAGTCACTTTTTCCCCCAATTTTCATGTCAATAAATACTTGCTGGCTGAAATAAATCTTATTTACTGTGTGTATCTGCTGCTTGTAGAGGCCCTCCTCTACTCCACCAAAAAAAAAAAAAAAAAAAGGGCAAAAAGCAGTAGATTTCAATCTCATCACTCCATCACTTGGCAATGTAATACAAAAATCTAGAAGCCAATTTCCAATTTTCATACACTTTCAGGGCCGTGCAGTTGGGAACTAGCTACCTAATATTCAGAACACACTTAGAAAGCATCTACTATTAGCAGGCACAGGTCCTGATGTCAGGGATACCGTAGTATAATGAATAAACTCCCTGTCCTCAGAAACCTTATTTCTATAAGAGAAAGGTGGCTAAAAAATTAATAAATAAAATCATTTTGGACAGTAATAAGTGATAAGTTCCACTGGAAACAAAACCCAGTAATGGGATAAAAAGCAATCATGAAGGCTGGGGGAGCAGGAGTATACCTCATATAGTGTCTAGGAAAGGCCTCCCTGAGGAGGTATGCTTTGACCTACACTGTAAATGAACAAGTGTCATGAAGATATGAGGGAAGAGCATCCCAGGCAGAGGAAACAACAAGTGTAAAGGCCTTGAAGTGGGAAAGAGACTGGTATTCCAGGGTCATATGGCTAGAGGTTATTAAGCAAGGAGACTGACCAGGGAGGCAGGCTGGGGTTAGATCACAAGAGCCCATGATAAGGATCACAGCTCTAAGTAGGAGAGTAAACTACTCAGCTGTTTTAAATAAGAAAAATGACACAGATTTATGTTTGACAAAAGTCA